CCGTGGCTTGGAGATTTTTTGGCAATTGATGACGCAGGGAAAGAGGTGACAACTTGTATCAAGCAACCTACGATTATCGAGGTAAATAAGAAAGACCCGCGGTCTTCCCCTACTTTACATATTAACACAGTAAAATAGCCAAAACGCTAGAAGAGCTAGTTGCTAAAATCTTACGCTTAAAGAGGCCTCCCAATCCTCGAATACTCTAGTAGTGAGTATTTCGGACACGTAGTAACCTATGAGGAAAGAAGTTATTTAGAAGAATTAGTACGATACAATATTTCGTTCAAAAAAGACCTGTTCAATTTAAAAGCATATTAAAAATTTACTTTAATAATAATAATAACAATATTGCTTATTGTTCTACAACAATTCACGTTCTGCATGCACAATGGTTTTGTAGCTATTTTCTTTATTGCGTAACTTAGTTCTAAAATTGGTATCTTAGTTGCCAATATATATATATATATATATATATATATATATATATATATATTTTTTTTTTTATCTCGCATATATATATATATATATATGCAAAATAAAAAAAATACATTACAAAGTGAGTAAAGTCTCAATCGTATAATGCTTACGACCTTCTACTGCTGCAAATGCTCTTTTACAGGAACTTCCTTACTTACTCTCTCTTGAGCCCATTTAAAAACCTCCTACGATGCTATTGCAGCAAAATTACCGGGTACAACCTAATTCCATAATCTATACTCATTCGAGATTTCCCACTACGTATCAGCGAAGCGAAAAACAAGGCCCGCGGCTGTATATAATAACCGTCCAATATAAGGGAAGCCAACGTTCAGTAAAATAGTGACAACTAATAACGACGAACGTAATTGGACAATATGGTTAAAAGAACGCTACGCTCAATATTTCCATGTCCATCAACATGGATTAATAAAGAATAACACGATATCTGTGATTAGGCACTATGATACATACATTGCGTTTATTTCTGTTGGTATTAATATTGTTGTTGTTGTTGTTGATGAAATAATTATCATCGTCATCATTGTTATTAATATTATTGTTAATGTTCATGATAACAATCATTATCATCCATCAATATCGTCTGTATCAGCCTTGTTATCTCTATCTAGGGGCATGAACTATACCAGATATGTAATTTGAATACTCGCCTGGACCTTCTTCCACATCTTCAGTTTCTTCGTCCCCCTTATCGTTAGTGTTATTATTGTTTTTACCATGCGTTGAAAATTCCTCGTCTCGATCTCCCACTAGCGGCCGACCAATATCAACCGTCAATCAATCGACCAAACAAGCAAACCATCATTAATCAATCAATCAGTCAGTCAGTAAAAGAAATAGCCGCCAACCGAATCCTTGCCGCATATCTAACGATAGCTTTTCTTCATTGATCCGTATTAGTACTTTATTACGAATGTATCTCGCCATGCTGTTCTTACTTGTTGTTTAAAGCTACGGTCTTCTTCATTGTTTCGTCTCTATTAGCGACTGCGTTAGCACCGTCCGCGTTGCTTCGAAACTCAATCCTTTCATTTTCGTAGCTGCAACAGAACGCTCACGCGATTTCCACTTTGAAGAGAAAGGCTGGTCTTTGGCTTGTTCAAGCTTCTAAATACTGGTGACTGAACTTTTCACAATAACTATAATTACTGATAAGGCCAGTTACTGGGATGTGTCAAATGCAGAAGCACGCTTATCCGAACTTTCTATGTCATCGTGCAAAATCCACCCCTAACAGGCAGTTTTTCATACAAAGAAAATGAAAGAAATTCAAATCTTACAAATATGTGCCTTTGAAGCCCTCGTGACCGAATGGGTTAGACGAATGTTCTGTTGCAGGAAGTTATCAGTCGGTGTTCACAGGTCGACCAAAGCTTCTGTTGGTGTTTAAATCTTTATTGTTTTATGAAAAGGTTGCGTTGTGAGCCAATGTCAGATTAGATAGTGAGGATTTCCTGGATAGGTTTGATTTTACATAATTATCCATAGTGGAAAAGGTAGCTTTTGCAAGCAGTAAAGCGCTTGCGTTAATAGCAAGAAAAGGACAAATAGGATATTACAAAGTACTAGGAAGGGGGCATTCCTTCTTTTCGCTTCTCCTACACTAACAACTAAGAACTGCAGCTAAGCATTGATCAGCGAGCTTCTTACAAAATCGAATAGTTTTAAAAACAAAATTCTGCCTAGTTCTTCTACACCCATCATGTTCAGAGATAAATGTACCCTGGGATCACTCTTATTTTCATCAGAAACCATCTGAAAGGCTCTGAATCCAGCTGTCCGTCTTAAGAGTATGCTTGCTACGTAGAAGCAATGCCTGTATGCTACATCTGCAATATGAGCCATCCCTGCGTGAATTAATGGCCACTCAATAATAACACTGGAGTAGAGTATTGCATGCCTGCACGCGTCATCAGGACGCAGAAGGTACCTCTAACGGAAGGAATATGTGCAAATTTTTGCCATGACACATATAAGACCAAATGTGTTTTTCTTGAGTGTTACGATCAAGGATCAAATTAAGCTGCCACCAACCTGAAAATTTGTTCGGATTATTCCAGATTTTTTGGAATAGTCGGTCAGAGAAAAGAGATTGAGTAATGTCGTAGTAGCGACGACACTGTTATCCAAGTTTTCAATTTTTTGAGCTATTAGCCGATTTATTTTTCCTCATTATTATAGCGTCATTAATATTACTGGCATGCATTTCCTTTCAAACTACCAATGCGAACAATCATAATGATGCGCGATACGGGACACTTCGTCGTCCTCGTCAAGACGGCCGGACCGACCATTCTGGGAGGAGGTACAGGGAAGCAGGAATTTACCATAACAGGTAATAAATCGAATACTTCTTTATATTTACTTTTTGCCTGTCCTTATTATTGTCACGACGATTATTACTACTATTTTATACAATCATTCTTCATACCGTGCCATACAAAATAATGGACAAACGGTTTACCGCCTTCGCCGCTTGGCTATCAGCACTTGCGCAATGCGTGGCGTCCGCCTCAAGATACACTGTTCACACCTGAGAAACGTATGCTCAGATGCTTGTCTTGTCTTGTCTTACAGCAGGTGACCCCATTTCGACACCCGTATCGCAGTCGGTGTACAGACCACAACTTGACCTATTGACCAAAACACGGGCAACCGTCGCACTTTTTTAGTTACAGTCTAACAACGCCATATTATGTTCACCCGACGTGTCATCTGCAGCATCTTTGCTTCTCTAACATTATGTGTCCTTTCGTATTTTTTTTTGACCTCATTCAAACGTTGGCGCGTTCTTTTCGCGCAAAGGTTTGAATCTTCGTTTTGTATATACAGAACTAATATTGCCGCCAGGGGATCGTAACTATAATTTGTCGCATCTTTCGTCGTGGTGAGATCATGCGCCTAGTTTTCTGCCTTTTTTACGAAGATAATCAATAACAAAGCCAAAGTATCGACTGAAGGCAAATAATACCCTATTATGTTCCTAATATTTTCGTAAGATGAAAAATGTGCATTGTTCACAGGGATGCCAGACGAAGGCAAGATGCTAATTATCCTTCATGCAATATCTTCGTAATTACATATTTTAGACGTTACAGACCACGAAATTTCTTATCTACGTACTAACAATCGAACAGTAAGCAAGTATCTGAGCCTCTTTAAGCTGATCTCTTCCATGTACGGTTTCAGTGGTTACTAATGTTTTTATTGGCTTATTTAACTATGTGATATTAAAAGCGATCCCCGGGAGGTTCGATATTCCTCCTTATAGTTTGTATTAGCTAAGCTCATTGTTTCCTACTTCTTCGTTCGCATCTGCATCGTCATCACGTTTGGCATATCATTATTGTTATTACTCTTCCTGTTATTATCCATAAAATGACTGAGGCTCACGGTAGAAAACTTAACCACAGTGCATGTCTATGCACGTGTTTAAGTATAATACTATTATCATTAATAATAACAATAATAATAATAGTATATTAATAATATCATTATTTAACAGAACAGACACTCCGTTATCTTTGCCTTCAAGACTTCCGTCAAAAATCTTCTAAATACTTCTCTTCTTTCATTAACAGTTTTGTTATTACCTTTGTACTCTTACTTAATTATTTTCTTTCACGGGTTAATAGCGTCTATTAGTCACTTATATTATACTTATGTGTGTATACGCAATTATAAAATAGGCGAACCCTTATTATTATTACATAAGGTAATATTACTAGTATAATTTTATCATGGTTATTAGTAGTAAGGAGTATGGTACGATTTCGCAGTGAAGCTAAATAGGGTTCTTACTATAGGGAACATCAATGGGTGAGGCAAAGTTTATACGCTGTTCTAGCTAATATCGGCTAGTAATGAAGAAGAATTGTTTTGTTATTAACTATGAACTCATCGTGCGTTAACATTGTTATGCCTGTATTTTTTAGCGTAGGTTTTTTGACATAAGTTGAATTATTTTTGCTAATTTTTTTCTCACCTATCGAATGTACCATTGTCATTATAATTATCTGCGATTGTGAATATGTCAAAGTCGTCCTGCAGGCTCTTGCGTCCCTTTATCTCTCGTCTGCCCTAAGTTTACCTTCCTTGCAATAGATGCACATATTCAGTTAGCTAGAGCAACGAGGCTTCTATGCGAGGGACGCATTCTCTAGGCTTGCGGGAGCAGAGTAGAAGCTTCTAGAGGATTATGCTGTCAATTTGTGTTTTATGCGTTTCAGGGTAGCATCGTCTACTATTCGTTGGTTGCCCGCTTTTTTGCATTTTGTGTCGACGTTGTTATTTCGCGCAATACTGATCTAATTGCGCTTTTTTTCGCTTTACGTTCTTTGATAGTATTATTATAAGTAATATTCTCATTGGTTGCAGGTATGTAAGGGCCTGAAAAAAATAGGCTCGCAATCCACAGGGGTTTTGCCAGTTGATTGCATTAAATCTAAGATTCTAATCGTCACTGCAATCGTTCTTGTTGTGTGCTCTATTGTTGTCAGCTCTTATCCATTCGTGATGGCATCGTCGCGCCTTTAACGCTCACGTCTACTGATGCCCCATACGTGGAATTTCATTTCTATTGGTAGAACAAAAGAGTTTTTTCAGTCTGATTCACCGGGTATCATTAAACAATAATTCGAATAAAGCATACTCTATCCATGATGCACTGTTTACCGTGATGATACTATTATTATGGTCGTCGTATCGTTATTTCTATTTAGGATTACGACCTTCTTGTAGCGTCATTCCCTACGAAAGTTGCAATGAATATTATTACGCATTCCTCCTATACGCGCTCAGACGCTTTAGCTGGTGTATTTATTGGCATTAGGCGATTATGATCATATATCGTGTACAAATAATCTGTGTTGGTGTGCATTTGCGTGGGGTCGCAACGGTGTTGAAATATACTGTCCGCTTTTCGTGCCTTTGGAAATGCTTCAGCCTGCCAGTTTTGTCTATTTCGCTCATTTTCTCTTTGTTTCAATCATTGGATGCACGATTATGGGCGTACGGTGTACGATGAACATCATTACCTGCCGTACTTTAGATTCGTACGTGTATGAAGTACGAATAAATTTCTTCCTTAGGCTTGCATTAATACGGTGGTAGTGCCTATCTGTCCGTCCACCTGACAATAGAGCTCGCTTTTGAAGCACATACGTCAATTTGGCGTCCGCCCATGGCCGACCTATCCCTTAACTGGGCCAATTTCGACCGCATTTAAGCTCGGCTCGAGGGTGAAGCTAGAAGCCGAGAGCAAAGTCGAAAACGGACATCGGCACTATTTTCGGATAACTTGTTTTCTCTAACTGCAGGCACGCGTGTCGTACAAACGCCAGTAAGAGATCGATTCAAACCCACAGGGAGAGGCCAATTTCATTGTCCACCAACATGAATTTTTCTAATCATTGGAGATCATGCAGGGAAACGGGCTAGGATTGCACAGAAATGCTGCCAAGGGGTACAACGTTTATATAGTCAGTCTGCAGCATTTTCATGTCCGCTGCAATAACACATCTGGTATCATATGTGTAGCCATTTTCATGTGCGTATTCCTCTCCTGCCTGCTCGACTGCCGGCCCTCATGGATCGTTCGTCTTGGTGTTGGGTTTGTAGGCGATGTATACGTGCAAATCAACACTTATTTTAGCAAACACGCGTGTCGCCATCGTTATATTCAGTAACCTCGGGTTGTACTCACGGGTCGTCTGCTTTGACAACTTTGTCCTCACGTATTATATAATATAATAGTGGAGTGTTAGGCCAAACCGCCACCAGCCTTACCGAATTGCAAATGTAATTTATTTGATTGGCTAACGATACGATCGTCACACACTAATTATCGTTTAATTACTATTACGTTCACGATATTATTGTCATTTGTAGCAGTTATTGCTCACTGCATCATATGTCTACCTGCGATTATAAGTTTATATAGATATATATGGATAGGTATGTACTATCTGGTGTGATACACCCTTCTCTACTTGCCCATGTTGGCGTTAATCCGTACTGACACATATCTGCTTTTACCGTTTACGTTTATTACTCTTTTCGAAGTAGTTCGCGTCACGGTCCGAGTGAGTTAATTCTGCAACAGAGCAGGGTCGTACTTCCTAGCATTCTAATAATCTCCTTAGCAATGTACGTGCTAGGCAACGATAAATGTTCAACCAGCGGAACGTTGATTGAAAAGCGAAGTTGCCCACCAACCCGCCGATACAATAATGCAATATGATTACAGTTAGCCTAACGTCCTTATTGGCCTTGCTATTAGTAATATGCTATCAGCTGGGTCAGAATTATAGTGTGGTACCGCACGGTTGTGGTTCCCCTGGGCAACATGTATACGTAATACGGTCTTGGGTATCCGCGTATGCGTTGATCTAGCATGAAATGCATCACTGACTGGCCCTCAGGCCCACAGCGAGGGATGGCATCGAATTAGAAAAATCTCCAAGAAGGTGAATAACGATAGAAGTTTATCGCCAATTTACAAACACTGTTTTTCCTTTTTGCGTTATTGTCGGCTTTGATCGCTTCAGAGAACTAGAACCAATTCTAACGGGTGGAAATATATCTAGTCAAGTACTACGTGCATGCAAGGGGTTATGTTGTCCATTATGTTATGAATTTATCCCTTGATTTGTAATTTGTAATAGACAAGTACTATGTATTATTACAGTGTGTGCGTGTATGTCTGTGTATCAGTGTAATGGATTAGGAAATCTAACGGTGTCCACTTCGTCCGTTGAATATATCTTCTGCATACGTGAGTTATTATTATGATTATTCGAGTTACCACGATAGGTTTAGTGCTAATGTTTCTTTGCTTCCCCAATGCGCTTTCGTCGTATGTTACTATGCCTCTCAATTCACTCGTACTTTATTCAGCATCGGTATCCTCTTCCAATGCAAGTGTATTTTCTTGGCCAAAGCTTCAACTTCATATTGTCGTACTGTGTTAATCTACGCCTCCCTTTGAAAAGAGCGTCGTTTGTTTGTCGAAATCAAGCCCATGAGCTTAAAGCTTAACCTGCACGACACGTTGCATGGTATCTGCGGTAGGAACTATTCTATTAGTTGCTCAGTTCTCTGTTAGTCTTTGTTCTCTACCAAGCAAGACCGTTGGCGAACCGTGGTACGTGATGGCACGTTTAGTCTGTGTGTCTGGAAGAAATATGACGTCATTCAAATGCAGACGACTGTGATAACGGTAACGTCATTTTATGATGAGATACTTGTAATAGATCAATGTTGCAGAACAAAGCTGTGTTGGTAATTAATAATAGAGGTTTTGGTTTGCTCACCCCTTCTGTGATCTTTTGTACGCTATGCACACATATTTCTAGATGCGTCGTTATGTCCGCTTTTAACGGCAGCCTATACCTAAACATGAGTTCTGACGACACTAGTACCGTCAGCAATGGGACGGCAAACAGGACTAAGACTAGATGCTCAATCGAAAGGTACCTTAAGGTTCTGGCCGAAATCTTGCCTAAACGTGGGAGTTATGTCCATTTGATTATTACAAACTGCTGTATGTGTCGAGCAGTACGTTTTTCTCTATCTCAGTTCTGAATGAATTTGCTCGCGCAATATACGCTGCGCTCTAATCTACTATACTATGTGACATTTTTTGATACTAGTGATTATAGGAGAGTAGTGGTATTTAGATGAACGAATTGATCGTTGTCGCCTCTTCAGCGTTACTCTATTTCTGGCATCTTCTTCTAGCACGCCTTCTCCAGTACTGCATAGTCGGATCTCATGTCGATATTCTCTGCCCCTCCTTTCCAGCAGGTGGCGCGTCATGCATAAACCAGAGATTACATGTTGGACTAGGGTCGAGTTTAGCATCTTCTGCTAATTATTACCGAGCTTTTCTAGCATAGTCACTACATAATTGTGACCTGCGTATTGTTTGCCTGTGTCCTTTGGTGAGTAGGGGGCGTCGCAGCGCGTTTAAGAAGCAGCTGTAATAATTCAGTCAGTTATGCCTTTCACGTTATTTATGTTTTGTCGCAAGCACTCATTTTGCACCGGCATTTGATGTTTTGGCATAGATGCGTAAGTATTTGGACATGACTACAATAACGATAATAATAATAATTATTATTAGTATTAGATTATTTGTGTTAATAGTAACACCTTTCTAGTTATCATAATAAGGTTCGAACAGTATTTTTATTCTAATTAGCTCGTAAATCGTATTTAAATTATCGTCGTCGAACGACATTTACTATTATTAGTAATAATAGCAATCATCGTTAATAATAACACTTAATAGCGCCCCATATAAGGTTCAAGTATGAATAATAACAATATTATTATCGTTAACTGGTAAATAATGATAGTTGCTCGTTGTATCGTTGCGTTTGTTAGTTTCTGTGTCTTGCTCAGTATTGTCACTGTTGCTAGAATTATTTATATTATTCTGCTCATGTTGCTTGTTTACTTGGATAAGATCGCGGTAGCAGACGATTTTTGCCTAACGATAGATGTTGTGGTACTTCGTTTACTCGTCTGCTTAGCACGTCTGTTTGAAAAGATTGTTTACCAACAAACACCATCAATTACGATCAAAGGCGAACGAAGTCAACGGCGATTTGCAAACAGTTGTCGAAGTAACGGGTCATCAAGTTAGAGAACATTATGAAAAAAGGAAGCAAATTATATTGAACCGGAGGCCGCAAATTGTGTGGCTGTATTTATCGTAACCTGACTACCGCTGTATTACGTGTTGATGTAGAGTGTTCTCAATTCGCGATACTTTCTCATTAAATGTTCTAGCTGTTCAGACACATTATCGGGCTTGAAACTATTTGTTGCTTTCAATATCGTTTTAATTAGCCCGGAGCTCTATTTTATTATCTTTGTGGTTATTTCATAACCGCTATTACCCTCTTAACCGCTACAAAGGCTAACAGCTTACTTATAACAATATCCATCGTCACCGCTAATAGAGGAACTCGCCAGCAATAGTAATGGCTTACAAACGACGCCACGTGATGGTGCCACTATGACGTGTTCTCCACCACTCCAGTGGCACGACCTATCGACCAATGTCGGAATTGTTAAAGTCATTGTTATTATCAACTGCCACATGGCATATGTATAGATCTAACATCGTTCGTTTCTTTCTTCATTAGCGGTATATCCCGCTCGCCGCGGCTCACACGGGCTCCGGCATTGGCAGTAACTGCTCTTTGACTTACCACTATATATATATATATATAATGTATTTAATAGTAGTAATAATTATAGTAATAAGACACTTCCACTTTGCTGGAATGTCGCGACCTGTGGGTGTTCAATGCGTCTCTGTTTTGCGTCTAACAACAAATCTATAACAAAAAGCAGCGTCGCTCTTGATTGTAATATTATCATTTAGTATTATTACTGTTTGTCATAAGTATGTTTTTTCATTTATATATTATGAGCTCACCCTTAATTATTCCCTCATCGTTTTCACGCTCTATCTTCATTATCACCATAATATCATAATTATTCTGACGAGTTGAACATCTTGGCTTTGTGTTCGATGTCACTATCTCTTCTGCGAGGCTTCTCCTTGCAGTCTACGAATAAAACTGCCACCAAAAACGTTGTTGAAACGTATTCGTCTTGAACGTCGTTTCGTCTTCGTTATCGATACGATCTACTGCCACCCATTGAAATCCCATCAGAAACCTCATTATTTGCTCGTTTGGTCTGCCAGTTCTATCCTGTTTTTTTGACATGCGCACACTCAGAGTATGCGCTATAACGCATCTGTCCTCACTTCACCTAATATCATATGCCTGATATAATCAGATGCTTAATGAATTGTATTCTTCTTCTTATCGTTAACGCGCTACTATATTATCCTTGTTATGCCATTATTACTTATTTTTCGTTGGTTTATCTTAAGGATAGCCATCTACTAGTATTTCGTCACTGTTATTTAGTGTGCGAATGTAACGTATCTATTTGTATGTGTATATAGATCAGCATCATTTAAACAAAAAACATAGAGTTATTATTGTTTAGTAGTTGCCTTTTTATCGCTTCATGATGATATTCTCAACGGGATTGAATGGATTCGCTCCGCGACGTCGATCGATGTCTTCGGGCATCTCAGCTGGCAGTGCGACGGATTGAGGGTTCACCTTCATGAGTCGCGGGACGCGTGTCATAGACGAACCGGCCGTTGAAGCGCCTACTGCTAGGGCGGCTCTAGCAACATTCCATGGATAGATTGGCAGAGGTTCCAGCGTTGCTCGGACGTCATCAGTACGACGTGTGTTGCCGGACGGCGTCTTCTCCGTGCCTGGTCCGATGGCAGGTGTTTGTTCTTCACGCTGTACGATGCTGCAGGGCAGTGCATTTGGCGCCATTGAATGGTGCGCTCCGTACAAGACGTATAGCAAACAACCTGGCAAACAAAGGCAGAGAAAGAATGGCGTGAAGCTATGCTATTAAGCATTCAGCTAGCCCAGCGACGGGATGAAATATTAGTAATACTTTAAATCGTTGAGTCGATAAATTCGTTAAAAGCTACCGCAGTTAGGAGCATTGCAAAGAATTGCAGCAGTCTACTAGAAACTTAGAGTTTAAGAAATAATATGTAATTGATATATAACATATTTAGATCGCATCATTAACATTATGACCAGTTATGACAATAGGATGTTTATTAAGTCACACGTTACAGTCGACGGGCGGCTTCTCTAGTGGCGCCAATTTTCTAGCGTAAGGTCTGCTGCGTATTAACAAGAACGTAACTGATATGTTACTAGATAGGAATGAACTTAAGCTATAGAGTTAAGACGATCACTGAAACCAAGCCACAGAAGAATAAAGTAGGATTTGTTAAAGATCTTTGGAATCTTCATAATATAATAATAATCATTTTCTACACCAGCTCTTGCAGTAGTTTAGATCTTATTTACTAAGACAGTTTACAACTGCGCTTTAAGGTTTTCTTGTATAAACACGTCAGTATGAATCTCAGGTCAGTGCACCCCACAGTGACACGATAACCGCCCAAAGTGTTTCGAAATGTTACTTACCCGAAACAAACCATAGTGAAACAGTGGCTACGACATTGCTCGCGAACAAATCAACGAAAGCGAGGATGTTCAAAAATGCTCCCAGGGCGGGCAGGCAGGGGCTCATTGGCACCCGAAAGCAGACCCCGTTTCCGTTCGAACCTAATTTACCTGGCGAATAGGTTAAGGGTAAAAATCAATTCAAAACTGATATTCACAGTGCCAGACAATGTGCTGCGGATACGGAACTGGTTTCGTTCCTCAGGCAGACGGTTGATGAATAACGGCTAGATATTACACAATGGCAACATATATCCATAATTCTTTGTTGTGCTTTTACCCTTGCGTCCGAAAGCGCATATCGGTTCTCCAATCTTTTCTACAATAGCACATCTGCCTTATTAACGTTTGTCGTCTGTATCCGTTTAGAGCACATCAAAAATGTTTTCTATATATATATATATATATATATATATATTGTTTCAATAGTCTCTTGTTTGAGAATTGCTAGAATGCTCGCGTTTTGCCCAAAATTTAGTGGAATTAAGTTGGAAAAATGTTTACATAAGTAAGTATTTCTGTAGATTTGAATAAACGTAACATGAGCTATTTATCGTGCCCAAATACCAAAACAAATCAACTTTGAAAAACGAGCTTCGAGGGAACTTTAGAGCAGATATTTTTATTCAGTCCTACGAAATCTGTTCTATCACTGCTAAAAACGCGCTATGAACGTGACACATGCATTACTTACCGAACTTCGTTAATCTTTGATGCATATGAAGCATTCCAAACGCGTGTTGTTGTTGTTTGTATTGGTGCTGCAGCTGTTGATGTTCTTGTCTAGCTAGAGCAAATAGGAAAGCAAGGGCGGACAGGGCAGTTATTGACGCAGCAACCACGAGGGCGCTAGCGACAGCCGGACGCTGTAGGGCATAATTTGTAGAGAGCGCTTCAAGTAAAGCCGACAGTGTGATAAAGCACGCAAGCAGGCCGGCCAAACAGAGTTCGGCTCGCCACCGCCAAAGTACACTACTAGCCGTATTGCTGGGACGTTGCGAACGCGCGTTTCGAGGCGGCAGAATGGGCTTCTGATCTTCGTCGTCATTGTTGTGACTGTAACTGTACGACGAAAAGCCTGGGCCTATTTGCTTGGATTTGTACTCCTTAACAATATCGTCGATGTCCTCCTCCTCTTCATCATCATCAACGATATCTTCCCCGCGATCTCCTTCTACCCCCCGATCATATTCAACGTCTGATTCACCGTCGGCGACAAACTGCCGGCTACCATTACCGAATCCCATTGTAGTCATGAGTCGCTCGGTGAGCGCCATCTCTGGGGAAATCGACGGCGTATTGACGCACTGTTCCTCGCGGGATAAAATTGGAGCGCGGTCACCTTCAAGACGACTGCTTCCTTCTTCATTCGTCCTTTTTGAACCTCCTAACAGACGATTTTTGTTGTGGTAAAATCTTAGTTAATTGTTTTTTAAAGCAAATCTTAAACATATGTGAGGATACCATACATGAATACACTTCGTTTCGTGTTGGCAAAAACCAACCGTTTGAAGTAATGCCTAGCGATAGTATCGGATGTTAAACATAACATTTTTATTCAGCAACTCAAACCGTGAAAACGTATATAAGTGTGTAAGTACTAACAAGTACATAATGTAACGCGCAGGAGGCAACCCTTTCGAAAGGACCTTCGCAGGAGTCAGCCGGATTATATTTTAAAGATGGCGTACGTGAATCATGGAATCCATGATAGAAAACTACTAGTTGAGCTGAGTCTGGCAAATCTTTTCAACAGGAAGCTGAAAATTGTTTACATGTATGTGTACCTGCTTGAACAATTTTCTGAGTGTTTATGTGAAAGATTTCTCGAGACGTGGGGTACTAAAAATATTTAGAAAAAGTATTTCAATAACAAATAAAAGCAAATAAACTTATGTTGTTTTGAGGGGAACGTTTTGTTTCATTGTGAATTTCTCTAAGCTATTCCGTTGTAGTGTTAGAGCCATTAGAAAGATTTAGACAGTATGTATACTTCAAACTTAATAAAGAAACGAATTTAGGCCCTTACGGACGAGAACCCTTTAAACGTAATACGTGTAACAATGCGTGCATAGACATTCTAATATTCTATTCAGGTGGCGTTTTTGAGACAAGGTTAGGTATTTTGGGCTTGAATGAAGCTCGAACCAGTTGTTTGGACCATCTTATGCACCAGCAGCCATTTAAACTTCATAAAACTAATATGAGGTATTCTTACCCACCTATAATGAGGTTGTATGAGAATACGGCAGGTCGGTATCGCTGATCTTCGTTGCGGCGGGTGCAGCTGCGCATGGCCAGAACGCAGATACAAATGATAGCGTTGAGCAGTAGTGGACCTGCGGCCATCGCAGTTGCTAGTTGAGCTGGCCGCAACAAGATAGCGCCAACGGCCGCCAACGCCGCAGCAAGCGGCAGTCCCTTGAGGCGCCCACTGGGACTTGGCAAAAGTCCGTCGTCCGCGAACGATAAAATTACCGCACTGAGGTCGGCCATATTGAGCAGAGCTAACAGCGTCAAACCAAACGCAGAAAGAGCTGAAAAAGAGCCTTTTAGTTTTTTTTTCGTAATTAAAAGTAACATCTCGGAAGACAGATTATCAGTTATAATTGTCTAGTAATCCCCATTTTTTTTTTCAGCTACAATACATTACAGATAGGCATCGGCTAATCGTACGCAAAGACTTCGTTCGGACTGTACTGGTTTGACAACTCCGAGCCAGCAAATTTTAGCTGTCCGTGAATGAAAAAAGTATTCACGAATTAAGAACATTCGATATTAGGTGTACGGTCATCAACAGGGGACTGTTGAAGATTTTTCATAAGAGTGGCAGAGTCCTATCGGGCAATAGGTTTGATGGTGACTGCTACAATCGTATGTACGTTCTGTCCGATTATATACATGCATTGTATGTGTTCAAGAGATAGTCGGGTTTTTGTACAAGAACTGCATACTGTTGCTAGCGAATATAGTTTTCCGTGCGACCGTTGACAAACAGATACGCGCGATGAAAACGCGTTCGATATCGTCTGCGCATGCATACATTTGGCAAGACATAAACAAATAAAGCTCAACATTCAATGGCTAGCCATGTTTCCTTCAAGTGCCCTGCCCATAAGCTTAATCGACCATTTACTATGGATCATGGGTGTGTGTGTGTGTACGCCATGGCTACGTGTCAATTGCTTCTTGAGTTTCGCAATCCTCTTCTGCTTTTCACCTGTAATCGCTAGATTGGCGTAGGCAGCGTGTCGTCGAAATACACTGACGGCAAGGCGAACTACGGCTAACGGGTCAGTGCCGCTATTTGATAATGCGATGGTTTCGAGACCCGATGCTAGAACTCCCGGCACGTCGACCGAGCGTTGACGAAGCGCGCACATTACGGCGATGAGTGCGAACGCGAACAAAAAGTTGAGAAAAGTCGATAATACAGCGACACAAGGCAGGTCCCGCGCAGGACGAATTTGTGGAGATGGCGCGCCCTTCAAATAGCAAAGCGAAAAATAGGCATGCGCAACGAAAATGTACACGAGATGGCAAACACAAACAATGGGTTAGGATTCATTTGTTTACGTCTAGTTGTTGCACGTTAAATTTTCGGGCCACTTACATATATAGTAAAAGCGGAGGAATATGCTCGCCCGAAGAAACGGTAGAAGGAGACTTAAGGCAAAAGCTCAGTCTCGCAAGGATCTCAGTGTTATATCATTTGAACGACAGTGTAACTCTATGAATTAAAATAATGCATGGAACGCTTATGAGGCAGGCCACTCCCAAAGCTATAGGTGCCGCGCAAAGATCGTCTGTTGAGATTCTGATCGATGAACATCTAGTAAAACAAATTAAAATTGCACAGGTTCTAATTGTATTCATTACCAAGCGCCGTACATCGTAGATCACAGAGGTACTTACTGGCGTACCCTCGGCCAAAAACCTATAAAACTCTGCAGTGAGGATCTCATACGTGGTTCTATTGAAAAGTCTATATATTTCATGTTGCTAGAAACAATGACATGAACTAAAATAGTGGTAAGAAATTGGTGTATATGCTTACGTTCTGTCGTGGTGAGACGGGTGCTAAGGGGAACCCCTGTACAGAAAATTGGGGAGCAAGGAAGATTGAGACGCACAAGGCAGCGCCTGTCATTAGCTGTAACGAGAACAAAATGTAAACACGCTATGAAGTAAGCCTTCAGCATCACCCAAACGGCTAAAAAACTGCAGCTAATAGGCTAAAGCGGACCGTGAGTTGCGCGATATTTTAATAGACATAACATCACAATGATATTATGAGTAGAAATTTGGTTTACCTCCCATAAAACACAAAATTTTGTATTTCTGGTCTAGCTTAGGTACTTGGCGAGTTGAAAAATATACCAGAATCAATGCTAGAAACATAAGTATAATAAAAACATACCCCAGTTGACTCGTGCTGTGAGTTCGAACCGCCGAACAAATTTGACGCGAGACTCGCCCCCAATCGACCCCCCGGAGGCGGGATCGGTTGCACCGGTGAATGCCACAAGAGGCCCGCTGCAAGGAGATATACGCCTTCCGCAAATGCTGCTGCCCCGAGAAGCAATCCACTAAGCCAAGCTCGCGCGCGGGCAATGTCCGCCAAATGAAACCAGATCGTCACCAGCAAAGCGCACGGTATAACGAGCAATGCTGCGACGAACCCACCGCTGGCGATTGGGTTGGATATTTCATTGCTTACACTGTGGTCACCTGTTTCATATTGATGTATAAGTGATATATATTCTATACGATAGAGCCTATACGTTCCGACAAGTTCTTATAATGGTATGGTTCATCGGAGGACCCCGTTTACTTACATGTGCAAGCTAAGCTTTGGCCACTCAGTGGAACGGTTACTAGAGTGAGTAATTGTTACCTGGCTGACTATTATATATATATATATATATAACGTTATTGAAGTTTAGCGATGGATGCATACATCATCCTTATTAGGCAAGTCACGACTTCGCCACTTGCTATTATCAAACGCGCTGTATAGGATCAGTATCGATCAGAAAGTTGACTTTTGTTTCTGCTTACTGTTACGTATTTAAAGGCGCCAATGATGCGACAAAAGCACCCTTACCTAGCTGATCGAGGCAAGGCGCCAGGAGACGACAACAAAGTGCCACGGCGCAGAGACGATGAAGTAAAGCGGCCCAACCAGCTGAAAATGCCGGGAACTCGCCCACACACTAAAAAAACAAGCAATTTGTACAAATATTAGCGACAGTTCTCTTAATTCTCAATACTTTTCACTGGAACCATCCTATACTAGGTAATCTAACACAGATTTTTCTCGAAGCCAGTGTTGATTCCAGCGATTATGTGCGTTTTCAACAAACGAGAACCTGACTTCCGAAGATTGGTGTTGTCGCAAATCACCAAGCGTACGAGTTTTACTTATCGGCCATTTTGGCTTCTGCTAGATTATAATTAAGGCAAATCAAAATGTTCTGAAGCTCTTCTTGGATAACTTATTACATGATCTAATCGCTTACCTGATATAACAACTGATAGAGACATGTCTCCCGCTGTGGATTTGTCACATGAGTTACAAGTTCCGAGTAGCAGAAACCTGCAAAAATTAACCATTTGTCTTCATTTGTCAAGAACACAAAATAATATTCGGTAACTTTTTAGCATATAGCTTTAGGCATAAACAAAGCATCATTGTATGTACTGATAATGCAATTAAGCTATAGATTATATGAAAATTAAATTTAATTTAACGGAGTAGTATGCGATTCTACTTGGAAGGAAACAGGGGCATTCGGCAAAAAAAAAACTACAATATATGATTATTGTGGTTCAGTATATTTCCCAAAGGTATTTCTGACATCCGTTTAAAAAGATTCATCCATTGTGAAGTAGAACCTAAGGCTATACTTACACGTGTTTCAGGTAATGGCTGATGAAAGGCAATATACAATTTTTATATAGCATATATAATGTACTAAGCAATATCGATATTATTGAAAAAAAAACACAATCTAACTGAAATATCTATAACGCTAATATTAATAATTCATATAATATTATCTTAATATGCAATATTCATGCATGGATTTGACAAATAAACACCCGTAGGACGTGTAAAAGTCTACGAGGAGGTCATATTGTGCTTGAGATTCTGTACTTTTTGCACAGTTTGTCCTTCGTACTTTCCGCTTATTGGAAATGGCCAACTCCTTGGAACAACCTTGACAATTTAAGCTCATTTGAACAATTTATCTGAAAAATCTAAAAACAAAATCGGTACTCGTAGAAATCAATGTAATTCCTCATAGGCGGTCGCTCTCCAAAGAAAGTGCTTTAATCTATGGCTCGCTTTACGATAAAATTTTTTTTAGGCCACCATTTCAGGCTGACCGTTTCATGGTGCAAACACGCGTCTATCACCTTAAAATAGCTAGGAACTTTGCCTAAGAAATTCAGGTATACGATTAGACCTGCAAGTCGCAGAGTGGACATAGAACTTTACTTAAGTATTTGCATGTTCCTTAACTTTTAATGCTGCCAAGTGCACAGGCTAGCTGGCTCACGATAGCATTATGATCGGAATGGAACGAATTACAAGCAACCCTTCCTTATTAAAGGTAGCATTTCCCGGTGACAGGACGACAAATAGATCTGGGTGTGTGACTTTCCTCATAAAGCCATGTTAATGCTTATAAAATAATAAAATAAATGGTCAACTAATGTGCGTTGTTCTAGATAAGCAATCCAAGGTATACTGTACTTTTTGTCGTTGGCGTTGCCACTGAAAATAAGGTACACAGGTATTAACATACACAAGTATACTGAAAAAATGTTGCAGCTTAATTTTACGAGTAACAATTGGTACAATAACAGAACAATGTCTAGATTTAGTTTCCGCAACGAAGCACTAGACGACCTTCTCATTGAATTGTCTCTGTTTACGTTGAGATTATTACAACGCCTCTGTTCCATGATTTGTTTACTAAATACTGCTGCGAAATCAAGCAAGGTGTCTTTAATGTTACGTATGATCGTTTGAGTCGGCCAACTGTCGGACTAACGTTAAGATAACCAGTTTCCAGTTTTGCAGAAGAAGAAAAATACAAAAGGAAAAAAGTGTCCTTTTATCTAGCCCAGCTCGCTATTATACAACAAATTTCTGCAGCTCCTAATTGTGTTTAACGAGTCATAACGGTTACGCTTTCAAGAACGCGTAACGTCTATTCCTAGCAGAACGCTGGGCGGTTTTGACATGAGTCAGCTATGTCTTCCACAGCTGTATTAAAGATGGGCGAACGGATAACAAATACATTTCGTAAACCTCTGTTATCTAAAAGCTCATCTAAAAACAACGAAATGTTAAATATGCGCTGGCAGTTTACAACGATAACTTGCATCGTAGCTAAGTAGTGCACATCCACTCCAACACCGTTTCAGACATGTTTATAAAAAAAAAAAGCTCAAGGCATAGCAATTTTTCTTTAATGTGAAGACGTTCACACTTGCTCAACTTACTAACGCGTCATCACCGGGCACGCGCGTCGCAAACCATTACCACTTTCGAATATTTTTTTTTAATCTTGCAACATGAACGTATCCTTCACTAGGCCAAACCTACGAATAGGCTAAACAAAAATGATTTGAAACAACCTTGCCATTCGCTGAATTACTCAAACGCATATATGTACACAGTATTACTTTCGTGGACACTGGCTATTTATAATATGTTGACTCAAAGAAGCATCGGTTTGTATTCGTAGTTCGTATATGTTAGAGAGTTACCTATATCCTCAGACTTTATCGTCGAGACCGCTGTGCGGCAGAGTATGCGGTATTTTCAATGGCCGCAGCGACATAGCACGATTTTCTTAGCACACCGGCGCGAGTCTTGCCCATATATGGACAGCGAGGTATATTGCCCTCGCTTGTAGGGGCAGACAATTATCTGAGGCGATTTAGCTCATTAAAGTTAATGTGGGAGCGACTGCATGAGCCTGCGATCATTTTGGGATCCGTTTTGTCTCGGTAGGTCGCATTCGATCCTCCTGACTGACACAGCTTAGTCCTAACAAACGCCAGCGCATAAACCAGTGAAGAGACATGAAAAATACATAGTGAGGCTGACGTAGTGTGCAACGATGGAAAAAATAGAAATATTTGCCCCATTCGCCGTGTATAGGTTAAAGCATTAACCAAATGGAGCAGAAGTTGGCTTATAGCGGACAACAGTGTCTAGAGATTAAAAAAAATGTAGTAGACCTTTGTTGGTAAAGGGAGTAGATTACCACTTGACACAGATACTGCTTCAAGTGTAGGCCTCTTTTTGACAATTGTAAATGTAACGTTTTCCTAATCGTACACTTTAGATATTTTCTTCTGTAAGCTTATTTCTCTTTCGATTTATATATGGAAGTGGACAAAAAAATATATGCTATACGCACGTAAAAGCTCTCTGAAACGTGACTAAAAATTACGCTTGCAGATTAATCGTCCATACAGACAAATTGAATATGAATAGGTGAAGCACATACTTCTAGGCGTGAAATTAATTTTTCTGATACTGGTGACTAACTAGGTGCCTTACTAGAAATAGTACGGGCGGCGTTATCATGTGGCAAAAAGTCGGGCCTGTAAGGTTAATGAGAGTTATTATTTTTTTCGCCTGGAATTTTTTCGAATGCAGCCCAGGCCCTAAAGGATGCGACCCGGTTTTTTCTGAGGAAAAATTTGCCAGTTTTTTTTATTTTTTAACTACACTGACGGAATTCTCCAGCTCTTGTTACCCGCAGGACTCCGTCGTTTAAATTGTGAAACAAGACTAAGGGAAACCGTTTGTGAGGGGTGATACGCCTGGGCATTGATGCCATAGAGGCTAAGCTATGGTTAGGTTAGAACCAGCCAATTTCACGAGAAAATTCACAGGTGAGTGCTATGACAAATGCAAAGTGTGCTCGGCCCAAGCGATTTTAGTGTCTAGATATTTACAGCTGAGTGTTATATCGCACTTTTATGAAACCTTAATAGAGCCCCGGCGAATAGATCGGTACGATGCGGGTTCCCAACATAGAAAAATGATCGTTGGGAGTCAATATTGCCTTATGTCCAAACACACATTAAGATTGAAAAGATCAGCACGAGATCCATCTTTACTTAAGCCAATGGTTAATCCCACTGTGCCTATTTGCAAATCCAGCGAGCTGTAGCGAGTCAGAATTAATAATTGCATAGACTATACCTTAAAGAAGTCTAAGGATTATCCCCAAGAACTTAAAGGTAAAGACCTACTTCTCTTTATTTGCAACTCTAACTATTTCGACTATTAATTCTCAGCGCGTGTGAGGGTGCCAGGCATTCAATGGTGACCTTCATAGCCAGTGTTCATTAGCCATACCCGATGGATTCAGTTTCCAGCCGTCTCCGTTGGAATCCTTATGAAATTAACTATTCTGACGTGTCCTGCACTTAAAGATTTGAATTTTCTTCCATGCGTCAACACGTCGAAGTTTTCGAAATACGTGCAACGTTGTTACTCGGCGGTCAGCAGGAGCACCAAGCTCGCTCACATGTAACAGCCGTCGTAAATGCAAATAGCGCAACGAACATAAAGTTTAGTTTAGGCTGCTGCGTTCCTCATGGGCGCTCTTGGGCATACCGAGGCTTTAACTCTCGTTACCTCAGAGAAAGTCCTAACGGGTAGCTCCGGCATATTGAATTATCTATTGAAGCATTCAGCAGGAAGGCGGCTTACTCTCGTGCCATCGTAAGCATGCTTCTGATTTGTTAAATTACGTTTTTCTGATTCGCACGCGTTTTTCTCGAATGATCCAGAGCTTTGAAAAAAAGCATAAACGCAAGCAAAACGCTCTGTATTGCTGTTCTGGATATCGCAGACTTTCCTGAACGATCCCTCGTTAACCTAACGTGCGGCAATTGGTCAGGTACGTGAATAGAGGCCATGTCAAAGAATTGAGGGTCGCGACACAGATCTTCTAACACGTTAGATGCTTTGCAAATTGGCAGCATAGAGAGGTGAGATACAATTTCAGTAGCCGAGTGTTCAAAATGTGTCGAGTCTTAGGGCAGATTACGGCACAAGTAGAGCACCCTTAACTATGTATTTATAGGCGCCTATCAATGGCCTACCTGCCATGAGAGTAAACATTTGTTCCAACCAAGGACTCCAACCACTTGAGGATCACATAAAAACTGTGTGCTAATGAGGTATGTTAGGTAATACGAATTTGCTGTTTCTTGCTCATTCTGAGTGGCATGCCCTTCAGATTAGATGCACATATTATGCACTGATTTCTAATTAATTGCAGAAATAAATATTGGCTATGCAGTCTGAGATCTATTAGTGTCTAATATGCCCAGCGTTGTCTGATTAAAAACTTTTCCAGCGCCAGCGAGTGTTTCCTATATATTCTTGTTTTTACTTATTGTTGGCTGGTTCAAGACGACGATGTTGATCAGAGCAGTACAATATATATACACATTCGAGTTTGTGCTGTCCTTTGCTGGGTACATGTACTTCTGATCTGCTTCTATGGGTGCCCGACAACTCTCTTATACCTGGCGAATGTTTGTCATCAAAAA